CCTCATCAGCCTTTGATAGTCCACTGCTGGACATTGGTCTCTCTTTAGAAAATATATTTTGGACTACTGTACCACGCTGGCCAGGCGGGTTGATATAGGGTTGGTTTCAAGTTTTCCTTCTCTTTGTTATGTGTGCTGTTGTTAGTGTGTCAGTTAAATCCCTTAGTCGGCTCGACTAACCACACAGATCGTAGTCAAAAAGATCGTAAGTTTCAGTAATTTAAAAAATATATAGTGACGCTAGTTATCAAACATGTGCTTATTTTTTGCATATCAATCTGAACTTGGCTTAAAAACTGGCGGTAATGGCGGTTTACGTCACACGATAATTCGAAAACTGTGTAAAAAGTTTAATTTGAAGAGGTCCGAGACCTTGACAACGGCATCAGATGTTTGACATGAGGGACATTTCGTATGGAAGATAAAATAGTTGTTTTTACTATTTTCCTCATACTTCACATTACTTTTCATCACATTACATTTGGTCACCGTTAAAAATTTCCCTGGACTTCAACAAATATTTCAAAATAAAAATTAGTCAAATCGGTCTAGCCATTCCTGAGTTTTAACAAGACTGAGGCAAGGAGGAATATTTTCATTTAATCTGCTCTTGACGAGAATGATTTCAGATTTTTCTTCATTACCATGTACCAAACCATGTGCTTTGGCACTTTTCTCACTTTTCTAAGCCTACTGATGGATGAACGCATTAATGCGTGATAGACGCATTAATGCGTTCATCGTCGGCTCACTCCCAGTCTCACCCCTTGTGACTTGTAAGTTGCACATGTCCATGGGTGGTGATAGTCGTTTATCATCAGGTGATCTGGGCCTCAATTCTGCTATTTCATGTTCACGCCAAGCCACTGTCATACCACTGACACGCTATTGAGATGCCATTGAGTGGCCACTGGCATCGGTATAAATATCGGTAGTCTACACTAACTCAGTGTCGTTACAGTAAAGATTGCCATATCCAAATATGATAATCTTTACTGTAACGACACACTGCCATAAAAATAATTAAATCATTTCCTTATAATTTGAAAATATATTACGTTTTTTTGAGGAAATGATTTATATATTTTTCCAAATATGGCAATCTTTTTGATATCACCATTGATGGGCCACTGCCATTCCATCGCCACTGTAAAGACACTGAGTTAGTGCCATTTATACCGATGCCAACCGCCACTCGATGGCATCTCAATAGCGTGTCAGTGGTATGACAGTCGCTTGGCGTGAACATAAAATAGCAGAATTGAGGCCCTGTTTGCTCGTTTGCCTCCCACATAACACAAAAAAATATTTGTATTGACAAAATATTGACTTTTAATGTAACCCTTACCTATACTAAACACAATCTTGTAAAATGCGGGTAATAATAAGTAGTTTGATAATGCAAAATATCATTTAACATATTATGTGTAAAATTGTTATTAAATTAAGTTGAAAACCACCATACCATCACTCCCAGTAGTAGGTAACTACGATAAAGCACTTGCTGGTATTTGACCAGCATAACTTGAGCCGTCGTTGTATAGAATGTGATATTATGGACTCATATAGCTTTATGAAGCTGTTTTCAAATAAATTTAATTTTAAAATTAAATTATAGTTTAAAAAATTCAGACTTCTGCATTTCGTCTATATATATATATATATAAACTTTAAGAATTACAGTTTTCTCTTTATTGTGTGTGTATGTAGAGGTACTGCTGCGCTTACAAAAGACTGTGGGGGAAACATGGTTCAGAACATATGGGTCTTGTAAATCTTGAGTTGCAAGTATATATGGATGGTAGATAGTCACTTAAAATAAAGTGACCCGACTGCTCGTTTGCCCCTATAATCATAATAACAAAATCCCCGAAGATACGTATACTTTTACATTGTACCTCATCTTAAATTAAAAACTCTAACAAAGAAACTAGCGGGGATTACGTCTACTGCTAGTTCAACACCCAAACCGAGCTTTTGTGAGTACACAACTTCTCTCACTACCAACTCAACAATATCGCAGGGAGACTACTACCAATATGTTGAACTCGTAAACGAGCAATAAAACAGCTATGAGAACATCTAAACTTTACAAAAGAACTACAAGAGGGATTCTGTGAGTAGAAAATCGAGCGAACCACGAAACCATCAAGAAGTATACCAAGAAAGACCATGACTACTTCAAGCAGAACAGTTTTGATCTATCCCGAAGCATGTTGGATGACAATTTGCAATCTATGTCTCATTTACGGAATGACGCTGCTGCCCGTCACCAGTGCGACCAGCTACGCACTGCGATCGGCAACCCGCCTGCCCAGCGTTGCGATTATGGGCAAATCCTCCCCATGCAGACGCAACAAAGGCCACGGCCCTCAGTTCCTGGTGGCCCCGCTTTTTCTGGTCTTGGTGGCGACCTAGGTAACGGCGGGGCAGGGGGTGCGAAGAATCTCTTTGCTACGGCAGACCAACACAACCGACTGACCCTGGCTACGTACAACGGACGCATTCTACGGCTAGACTCGCATCGGGCGCAACTTGAGGTGGAACTTGGGAAGATTAGGTGGCATATCCTAGGGCTATGTGAAGTCCGAAGAGAGGGGGAGGACACCAAAACCCTCGAGTCAGGCCACCTAATGTACTTCGAACAGGGTGGCGTACCTCATTATCAAGCTCATTGAGAGTTGTCGAGTTGTGAGAGGTGCGTAGCCCCACGAGCTCCCGGCTGTTAACTCGTTTATCTCATTTACCCTATTGCATTTACCCTTTAGTCGCTGAGCGGGCACCTGTAACCAGCTAAGTACGATGGTTGAATCGCACCAAAATTTGCACATAACTTGTAATCTTAATGCTTGTAGTTCAAGTTCAAGGTTCAGATCCTGGAACTCGGCGAATTAAGGGTGGCTTGTGTCATCCAAGGGATCAGCGGTCTCGGTCAAGGGTTGCACCTCATAAGACGGAAGCTCTGTGGTTTCACAGGAAACGCGGAGGTGCAGTTGCCAACAGAACTCTTATTAGAGTATGGATAACAGAGGTCGAGGTTGGCCGGCACATTAAATACCTCAGCCTCACCCTGGACAACCGCTAGAGCTTCAAGGAGTATTTCGAGCGGATGATCCCCCCGAGTTCGTGGGATGGCGGGCTCCCTACAGAGGCTGTTGCCTAATCTAGGGGGTCCGCGGGAAGAAGTTCGCTGCTTCTATTGTGCGGTGTAACGATCCATGGCCCACTACGGAGCTCCGATATGGGTCTATCGGCCTCCTCCCGTTGCCGAGCTATTAGGATCGTACGAGGTTACCGCACCATTTCGTCGCAGGCGGCGACAGTCCTGGCACGTTTCCTGCCTTTTAATACAGTGGTCTTACTAAAGGAAGCATCGCTTGTGCATGTGTTTATACGTTCTTAGGTTATGTGTTGTATTTTTTTGGTGCTTTTAGATAATATTATTCTCCAGGTTATTCCTTAATAAGTACTAACTATTAAAACTTCAAATATAATCAATTAGAATCTAATTTAAATCTATCAAATTGATTTTATTAAATGAGGTAGCTTGTAGTTGTTCCGAGATTATTATAGTCCGACGGTGGTAAATATGAACAACAGTAAATATACTCGTAATAAAAATGTTCCAAGTCCTTACCAAGAGTTGTACGTAGATTAAGAGTTGTACGGTAGTAAATAAAGACAACAGTAAATACAATTAAAGATGTATTCCAAGGTCTTACACACAGTCCTACATTGATCCGTACGGTAGTAAATAAAGACAACAATAAATACAATTAAAGGTCTATTCAAAGGTCTTACCAACAGTCGTACATAGGTACGTACGGTAGTAAATAAAGACAACAGGAAATACAATTATAGGTATATTCCAAGGTCTTACTAACGATTGTACGTAGATACGTACGGTAGTAAATACAGACAAAAGTAAATACAATAAAAGATGTATTCCAAGTTATAAGTAAAAGTCATACATAGATCCGTACAGCCCGACGGCTCGAGCGAGAATGACCAATTACCCGCAACCGCACCTCGTTTTATAGGACGCTCGTGCACGTGTTTATAAGTTGTTAGGTTAAGTGTTGTAATTTCTTGGTGTTTTTAGATAATTTGATTCTTCAGGTTATTGCTTAATAATAACTATAAAAACTTGAATTATAATCAATTTATTGGAATCTAATTTAAGTCAATCTTATTATTTTTAATGATCTAAACATAGCATTCGAGCGTGAAACCGCAGACTGGGTTACACAGGTTATCTAATAACCTATCAAGGAGTACAGCACCTTAATCACTACAATTGTAGCTTTAGTACACACTTAAAACTTGTATACTTACCTTGTACTACAATTTTATTACAAATAAAGATTAGATTATCTGTTAGTTTTTTCTTTAATTTTATTTTATACAAACCTTGTCCTGACAATAACGAACACAAAAAAAAAAGAATTATTGAATTAATGCAATCATTAAGAAGTTATGGGCCTACATACATTTTTATTTATATAGATGGACTTGATGAATTTGACATTATGTTACTGTATGTAACTGACCTTAACCATTATTAGAATTAAGGAGCATATATTAGTCACAATTTACTAAAGATAGTTAAGTTATCTACGAGCATTTAAACTAAATTTTTAGGGCGAAAATTGACAAACGTAAATTCCTCATTATCCTCAAATTACTTCATTTATTTACTCCTTATCCTGAAGTTAGTGATAAGTGAAAACTTATATAAAATAATGAATAGTCTGTTTAAAAATGGTCAAAACATATTGATTGTTAATTATTTCAAAAATTATGAAATTAGTCTTTTTTTTAACTTAAAAAAGCTGTATCTCAAAATTTGCCTGGTGTTAGTTAGTTGATTTTCGCTTTATGAGGATGATTTATAAACATGAAGTGACTTCCATTTTAATGGTAGTCAGTTATCGCTTAAACAATAAATACATGACAATTTCTATTCACTTTCACTCACTTTCTATTTGCTGTTGTTTTCTTTATAGCTCTGTATGTATTTCAGGTTGTGGATATGGAGGTGAAATAGGTTCTCTATAATACTTTTGGTAGATTTTTTGCCAGAAGTTGAAACGTTTCGGTTCAATGGCATTTCCTAGTTCCAACTTTTGGCCCAAAGACATATATGGCGAATTGCCCACACTTACAGCCGGCCACGCAGGAAGCGGTGATCCCTCCGGCACAGGTTTACTGAAATAACAAAACATTTTTTTTTTTATTACATGCATAAATAATAATTGTAGAAGTAATCGGACACCAGCTAGGAACCAAAATCTATTCAACCACATTCGATCCGGTTCTTCCATATACGTATATACCAAGGAAGGCAGAACTTAAAACACACTAGTTGGTTTTAAACCGGCTATTTGAAATCGCATTGCATCACTGAACAAGTCAAAATGCAATGAGGGTGTTGGCTATTTTGCATTTTTATGCTATTACTTAAGGAACACGACTGCATAACTTACCCTGTAATTATGAAATTATGCCAAATTGCTCTAACAATTTTCTTCATATTCATATACTCTTCAGATAGAAGATCTTCGGTGAAATCGGTCAAATTCTTACCGTCACCTAGAGCAATCGATTGAGAAACATGCATTGCTCCTCGTTCATTAGTATACGGTACTACAGGAGTATCCTCGTCCACAAAAGAATATTCGTATAAATAAACTTGGTCGTGGCCAGCTTCTACATGTAATTTTACCTCCCACAGTGCACCTTGTACAAAAAAAACGTCTGAAAAGTAATCTACGTAGTGTAGAACAGTGTCTGTGTCCACAGGCTTGTCACCAAAGTAAAACTCTTTTATTTCTTTCGCAACTTTCTCTTTTTCTTCTTCACTTTCAAACTTCAAGTCCGCAGGTAGGAAATCCGAAAACTTGTCGTTCATACGATCTTTCCATGTATCAAATAAACCTATTCTCATCAGACCTTCCATGTTAGCAAAACCAAACAGAACTGGTACTTTCTTGTAATCCCCAGTTTTAAGTATAGTCAGGGGAGATTGTGTTAGGAATGCTCCGTCCCAGTAATCATTCTCGACACACGGTGAAAATGAAAACGTAGAGTCAGTGTTTTGAAGGAACCCATCAGCTGTTAAGATGTCGTACGATAGTGTTTTGTAAAAAATTTCTAAGGCATATATATTATCGACCTCGGTGAAGTTCAATTTTTTTGCGTGAGTTTTAGCTATACTCAAAGGATCTGATTGAACTGTAAACGCCAGTAAGCTTGCTCCGCTTTCTGGTATAACTTTGTGGAATAGACCTTCAGCAGCTTTCGAAAGCATTAGAAGATCCACTGAGGAGCCACCTGCACTGTACCCTGATATCGTAACGTCATTGGGATTGCCTCCGAAATTTTTAATGTTTTCTTGTACCCAGCGAAGCAACGCCACTTGGTCCTTCATGCCAGCGTTACCGGGAACTTCGGCCGTACCCAGACAAAGAAAACCATGTATGCCCAATCGATAGTTAAAGTTAACTAAAATGAAGTCCTTGTATCTCATAAGTTTTGTTAGATTGAACATATCAGCGTATCCCGCTTGAAAACCTCCCCCGTGAACAGAGACAAGGACCGACAAGTTTTCTTTTTCCGTATTAGGTACATAAATGTTAGCTAATAAGCAATTTTCTTGCATTATTACATCCCTCATGTTTTCCCAATAAACCTGAGGACATACGATGCGTTTACCGTCAGCGTCAAGAGGCTCCGTCCATGTTGGTGGAGGAAGAGGTGCCTAAAAGTGAAATCGACATAAAATTAAATTTGGATTAACAGAAAGACATCGACTAATAATTGAACATAAAGTAACCTTAGTATATGAACCTACATTTTGTTAAGTTACTAAAAAATAATTTGCATAAGTACACCTTCAACTACTACTGTCTCGCCGAAACATTTCGATTCATCCTAAGGTTGCCTGAAAGAAATTGCTCTTAGCAATTAGACCGCTCTTTTTATATTACAATCATATCTAACATGTTTATGTATGGATACTACTCTTGTACAAAATGATGTTCAAATGAAGAGTTTTCTAACCATCTATTTTACAGATGTGGCTCTAAAGTTACTATTTTATTAAATATTATAAGTAAAGCATGGCCCCATAATAATTAGTCATACAGGGGTCATTTACACATAACCGTAATATTCGTGTGGTGACAGATTAAAAATACGAAGTGTCACCACCCCCATTCATCCCATAGGTGTCGTAAGGGAGCAAACTACGCAGAACAACAGCACTGCAAAGAGAAGGAAAACTTGGCGCAAAAACTATACCAACCAGTCTGGGTAGCGTGGTGTATTAGGTCAAAACCTCCTTTTTAAGGGGAGGCCAATGTCCAGAAGTAGACTATTAAAGGCTGTTGACGATGATATTTTCACATAACCACGTAGTGCTACTACTCTGCTTTGCTCACGACTTAAAAGGAGAGTTTTTTGAGTTAACTAAAGAATTAAATCGATCTCATTAATGAATCTAATAAATAAAATAATAATAAAGCAAAAAACTGAAATTAGAGAAGTCTTGAACTGTAGGTACATACTTTTTTTTAGGCATTATGTTCCTATTTTCAAAAGTGCGAATTTCATAATACTTAAGAATAGAATTTCTATTATTAAAACTCACGAAATTTATTTTACCGAAAATCATAAATGTGATGTGTTTGTTTTCCAATTTTGTATACGTTCGAAGAATCAAATGCTCGATGTTTTCTCGGTCCGAAAAACGACATACCAATTTTCAATTCATCGAATAAACTGCTAAAATTAAGATTCTGATTCAGTTAGTATAATATTCAGTTACGCATATAAATTCAAAAGCTATAAGTGACGTTCAATGTAATTTAAAAAGGTACTACTTTGTTATTAATATTTGTGTATTAATAAAAAAAAATGTTTGCTTCTCCTTATCTCCTATCCTATTAAAAATTTCGTATTTGTGTAGTGTACCCGATTATTAGGCAGAGGTACCTGCCCTAATCAAACCTATTTATCTGACCTATCAGAGATTATCTTTGTTGTCTTAATTAATGTCACCCTATCACGGAGCTAGATTATAATTTTGATATTATTATAATAAATTTACAAGGCCAGGTCTAGCTTTGATAGCTTGATTGATGCTATCTGACAATACAGATGATTTCGGTTTAAAAATAGTAAATACATACTACCCACGGGTCTAACCCAATGTTATATGTATTTTTTTACTGTAAGGAAGTATAGATTGTTGAGACCCGAATGTCAAAGCTACCTGGTGCCATTTTCGTCTTTCAAATTTTATTTACTCAAAGCTAGTACGCGGTCATAAGTCCAGTAGCACTTTAACGAAGTTATAGCATTATAACTAATTGGTCTTACGACAATTGGACTATTAACATAAATCACCCACACATATACACGCTACGTGCGTATGAATATAGTGTCTAATTTCAACGTAATTAATACCTGTCCATTTTGGTCTTACGTTAAAATTAATTTAAAATCTCAATCAATTAAGATTTAATTTGCATACCTACTCAACTGACTTTATAACAATAACTTTAACTGACTACTTTATGCATATGATTTAGATAACTGAGTGTGTTTGAGTGTATTGTTGCCCTATGCACATGCCATGTCCCTTGCTGAACTACCTTGAGGTCACGTTATACGATACGAATACTACTTATAATGAAACAGGTATCTACAGGATCAAGGTAATTACTAAATAATCAAATAATGTTTGATAAGTTTCAATCCACAAAACTTCTTATCATAGATACTGCGGGCCGCGGGGCACCCGAGACACATCATGAAATAATTTGCAAAAGTAATCTTTCAATATTTCTGAAATTAATAACATTAGCAACTACCGAAATGTACTATGAACATATTTTCATATTGATTTTCTAAGATCTAAGTACCTAACCTTTATACATAAAGCAGACGTTGAAATTAGAACTATGTTAATATTCACTTAGTATGTATACGAGTATACTATATTGTCACTTTAATTGACGTTTATAATATTTAGAACTATTTGAAACAGTTTAATTTTTCACCTTAAATTTATTTTTATCTGTCGGCACTGAGGCATAAGGTATACTACGGAAGGTCCACAGTTCACCACTGGAGTCCCGGTAGCCCCGCACCGGGCCTTGTTTGATTTTAACGTCCTTCCATTCCCCTTTATCAAATTCACTGCTCACTGAAGAGACGCACAGTAAAAATACCGACGTCCACAACCGCATTGCTGTGGCCAAGTACTGGCTCACAATAATGGATAACGATAGGCTATGCCGCGTATTATCTGTTATATTTTTATCACTGTTTTGTAATCATATTATTCAGTATTCGGTTATAGCGATGTCGCGGTGGATGTACTTTTTGTTTTTGTGCGTCGCAGTGGGCGCGACAGAACACGGTAACGACGAATGGTTGGAGGTGAACATTGAACAAGGTCCTGTACGCGGACAACTGGATTCAGGTGGAGAACTATGGACTTTTCTGAATATACCTTACGCCACGGCACCGACGGGTAAACACAAATTTAAGGTACACGAAAAAGATTGTATAATTTATAACCATTTTGATAGGCAGCGTTGACAGCTGTTAACCTACCGTAGGGGAGTCTTCTTTGTCACTAAAGATTACATTACATATGTAGGAATTATTAGATTGGTAGAACTTAAATTATACCTAGGCTTACAATAAGTGACTTCGGTGACTGTTTTATTCCTACTAAAATTAAAGCGAAAGTAACTCTGTCTGTCTGTTCCGCTTTCACGGTTAAACCACTGAACCTTGACATGAAAATTTACATGGAGATACTTTGATCCTTAAGGAAGAACAAAGGGTATTTTGTACCTCGAAAAACAACATACACGCCGCAGCATTTGTTTTAAATTATTATCATATTTTTGTACATTCGGTACAAATTGATAAGATTATATGAAGTAGCTAATATTTTTGATAAATCGAACACATACAAATTAAAAGATTTGACCCTAACAAAATGACTGATTTTTGTTTTATATTTCGTCAGCAAAACGCTGACGAAATATAAAACAAAAATTTTAACAAAAAACTATTCTAAAACAAATTAATATGCACTAAAAAGGAAAAAAAGAAATGTAAATTCTTCTACAACTTAATGATCAACTTACTTTTTCTACTCATCAATATGTAGGTACGATCTATGTGTTTACCACGCAAAAAGGTAGGTAGGTACCTACCCACTTCAAATCTAACACACCTATGAATAACAAACATCGATCAAAATATTTTTTTGAGTTCTAAGGAAAATGAAATGAAAAATATTAGACTACTTAAAAATCAATCAAATTATTACGATAATATAGTGTAGTTTTAGTATATAGTAGTTATAGTATTTTTGGAGTCCGTGTCAGCCGTTTGCTACATTATGTCTCAGCATAGTGTCAGCATAGTGTCGTATTAAAATTCGTTTGTTTGGTTTAATTAGGTATTGGTATTTATTTCGTGATCGCGTTATTTTTTTATTTTTAGTGAATCTAAAGTACATTTACTAATTTGTCTGAATATGGGTAGTCCTTATAAACGTGCTGCTCATATGAGACAGCGCCGTTTGAATGAAACAAACGAAGTCAGGGAGAAACGCCTATCTCAACAGAGGCAATCTACCTCGAGAACAATTTCAAGAGAGACTTGCGAAAAGCGCAAAAATAGACTGTCGAACTGTGTTTTGAACATTGAAAATATCGGAAAACGTAGTCACAAACGATACTCGGCTGAATCTTTTATAGGCTATAAAAGATTCAGCCGAGTATCGTTAATTTGCTCCTAAGAATTGAAGAGTTCCGTTACTTTGTCATGGATCCCATGATCAGAATCTAACCAAACTCTCATCAAAGTACCTACCCTTAAAGTACATTCAAATAAAAAAGGAATAATCAAAATCGGTTCACCTAGTCAAAAGTTCTGAGGTATCAAACATTAAAAAAAAATACAGTCGAATTGAGAACCTCCTCCTTTTATTTGAAGTCGGTTAAAAAGATGAAGTACCTAATGACGTCAAAGGTGCTGCAAAAAAGCTAGTCATGATTTTTATGGCAAAAAAAAGCAATATTTCAAATACATATTTATAAGTAGGTATTAATAAAGAAGATACCGAAGAAGGTGGCTAACGTGCACAATATTTCCTTGTAAATTTGAGGTTTGCAAAAAGTAGTTTAGCCCACAATTTATAGTTTAGCGTTATTTAGACGCGCCAATTAGGCAAATGGCGCGTATCTATACCTGTCTTGAACTATGTTTAACTTAAATTGCAAGGAAAGGAAGAAGCGCTTTTGAAACAATATGGATGATGTTTAAAAAGCCTTAAAGGTTTATGAATATTTGATATGTAACATTATTTCTTTTGCAGGCTCCTCTTCCACCGCCCACATGGACTAAAACATATGATGCTGTCGACAGAAGGATTATATGCCCTCAATTTGTATGGAAGTCAGTGATGACTGGAGACTACTCAATGCAAGAAGATTGTCTTGTAGCAAATATATATGTGCCTGATACCAGGAGAAAAAATCTTTCCGTCCTAGTGTATGTTCACGGAGGTGCATTCCAATTAGGTTATGGTGATTGGTTTGAAGCAAAAAATCTTTTAAAATATAAAGATTTCATCGCAGTTACATTTAATTATCGTCTAGGCATTCATGGTTTTCTCTGTCTTGGTACCGAGGATATTCCTGGCAATGCTGGCATGAAGGATCAAGTAGCGCTGCTCAAATGGGTACAAAAAAATATTGCTGCTTTCGGAGGCAATCCTAATGATGTCACTATTGGTGGAAGCAGTGCAGGATCGATGTCAGTCGATCTTCTAACGATATCCAAATCAGCTGAAGGATTGTTCCATAAAGTTATACCAGAAAGTGGGTCAAATTTATCGACATTTTCTTCTCAGTCTAATCCGTTACAAAATGCCAAAGACCATGCCAAAACTTTAAATTTCACTAACGTAGATGATATTTACCAACTTGAAGAATTTTACAAAACATTGTCGTATGAGACTTTGATAGGGAAGGGCCTTAACTTTGATGATCCTTATTTCTTTACACCTTGTGTAGAGCGGGCAACGGGTGATGGCTCTTTTCTGACAGAATCTCCCTTTAGTATCTTGAAAAGCGGTAAATTCAAAAAAGTACCTATGCTTTATGGATTTAGTAATATGGAAGGTTTATTTCGAATTCAGGATTTTGAAACATCTAAAATAAGAATGAATCAGAAGTTTGCCGATTATCTGCCTCCAGATTTAAAGTTTGAAACTGAAGAGGAAAAAGCAAAAGTTGCTAAAGAAGTCAAAGAATTTTACTTCGGTGACAAACCTGTAGACAAAGACAACATATTGGGCTATGTGGATTTTTTCTCAGATATTGTTTTTGTTTACTCCAGTCTTTGGGCGGTAAAGTTATATGTAAAAAGCGGTCATGATCAAATTTATTTATACGAATATACATTTACTGATAAAGACACTCCTCCTGTGATACATACAAATGTCCGTGGTGCTACGCATTGCGCTCAGACATTTGCTTTACTCGATGGCAACCTGTTATCTTCAAATGAAGATGATCTTACAGAAGAATATCGAAATATGAAGAAGTCGATACGAGAAATATGGCATAACTTTATTAAAACAGGGTGAGTTAAAGTTACTTACTTAAACATGATTGTACCGTGTTTTTTAGAAAATAGCTTTATAGAATTTCGTTTCACAAAAAAAAACTAATTTTATCATTTTGTAGAATAATCATTAGGCAGAAAATTTACTGCACGGATGGCGTAGTGGTTTCGCCACGACGCTTGCTAATACGCTGTGTCTGGGTGTTCTTTGTGTTTGTTTCATGTATGTTTGTAAAGTTCTCCGCGACACAGGATATATTCCTAATGCGGGATTTGTCGTTAAAAAAAAATTTCAAGACAATAACTTTTTTTAGGCGGTAGGTGTAGAAAATTATAGACGTGTCGTAAATCTCGTAAAATTAAATTTAAATTATATTTATTGTAACTTTTGCCTAATTTTATATCTTGGGAGAAGTTAACACAGTCTATGTGCTGGTACTCAAAAAAACTCATATTTGGTGAACATTTAATGTGATAATAAGCCAGTTAATCGACACCACCTGCCAGCGCATCGCTGTACAGTGCTTAAAATTTTATTTTATGTTATAATATAAACAATCAAGAATGTCGCAGTTCTCTGATATACTATCGGCGCAGAGGCGCAGGCGCAGGCGCTTGAGGAGATATTCACGAAGAAGATGTCTGATCTTGAAGCTCAGATAAAAAGTGCCGGCCCTGCTAAAGACACTGTGGCCAAGGTTGCAGAGGAATTCCGAACTTTTCGGGAATTAATTTATGGATTTAAATATTTATGGATTTAGTAATATGGAAGGTTTATTTCGAATTCAGGATTTTGAAACATCTAAAATAAGAATGAATCAGAAGTTTGCCGATTATCTGCCTCCAGATTTAAAGTTTGAAACTGAAGAGGAAAAAGCAAAAGTTGCTAAAGAAGTCAAAGAATTTTACTTCGGTGACAAACCTGTAGACAAAGACAACATATTGGGCTATGTGGATTTTTTCTCAGATATTGTTTTTGTTTACTCCAGTCTTTGGGCGGTAAAGTTATATGTAAAAAGCGGTCATGATCAAATTTATTTATACGAATATTCATTTACTGATAAAGACACTCCTCCTGTGATACATACAAATGTCCGTGGTGCTACGCATTGCGCTCAGACATTTGCTTTACTCGATGGCAACCTGTTATCTTCAAATGAAGATGATCTTACAGAAGAATATCGAAATATGAAGAAGTCGATACGAGAAATATGGCATAACTTTATTAAAACAGGGTGAGTTAAAGTTACTTACTTAAACATGATTGTACCTTGTTTTTTAGAAAATAGCTTTATAGAATTTCGTTTCACAAAAAAAAAACTAATTTTATCATTTTGTAGAATAATCATTAGGCAGAAAATTTACTGCACGGATGGCGTAGTGGTTTCGCCACGACGCTTGCTAATACGCTGTGTCTGGGTGTTCTTTGTGTTTGTTTCATGTATGTTTGTAAAGTTCTCCGCGACACAGGATATATTCCTAATGCGGGATTTGTCGTTAAAAAAAAATTTCAAGACAATAACTTTTTTAGGCGGTAGGTGTAGAAAATTATAGACGTGTCGTAAATCTCGTAAAATTAAATTTAAATTATATTTATTGTAACTTTTGCCTAATTTTATATCTTGGGAGAAGTTAACACAGTCTATGTGCTGGTACTCAAAAAAACTCATATTTGGTGAACATTTAATGTGATAATAAGCCAGTTAATCGACACCACCTGCCAGCGCATCGCTGTACAGTGCTTAAAATTTTATTTTATGTTATAATATAAACAATCAAGAATGTCGCAGTTCTCTGATATACTATCGGCGCAGAGGCGCAGGCGCAGGCGCTTGAGGAGATATTCACGAAGAAGATGTCTGATCTTGAAGCTCAGATAAAAAGTGCCGGTCCTGCTAAAGACACTATGGCCAAGGTTGCAGAGGAATTCCGAACTTTTCGGGAATTAATTTTTTCCATGTTGGGCATGCTTCGGAAACAAATCGGTGAATGCTACAGACAGATTGACGCCATAGAAACCAGACAGCGGCGTAATTCACTAGTCTTCTTGGGTGTCGGGAAGTTGAGAAGGAAGACTGTAGGAGTGTCGCAATTCAGGTGATAAACAGCAAGTTGGGCCTGAGGGATATACCTGCTTCCTCCATTAAAGGTCTCCGACTTGGAGTATCGAATAAAGAGCGTCAGCGGCCTATACTTGTTAAGTTTTCCACCATGAATGACAGATCGTCAGTTTGGAAGGCTAAATCAGGACTCAAGGGTTCCTCTATAACTATAAAGGAATTCCTGACAAAGAACAGGCAATCCGTATTCGCCAAGGCCAGGCTACATTTCGGTGTCCCTGTGTGCTGGACTCAAGATGACTATAATACCAGTCATCAAAGTCCCTGGTGGAATCCGGCACAGGATCACGACCATCGACGAGCTGAACCCGCTGCTGGTGAAATATCCGAGGGCGCAAACGACTTCCTCAAAATCCTCAAAGCCTGCAGGAGAAAGTAGGTCTGATAAATAAATTCAATTTAGCAGTGACATTTAGCATTCACTTAATAGCAATATTATTATGTGTATTAGTATTATATGTGTATTATATGTGTGTATATACTTATTGTATTTATCTTTAAAATTATTCCAATGTTATTTATATAAGTACTCTGGTTATATAATATTCTATACATATATGCTATAGTTTTAATAAATCACATTTTTAATTTCTGTGCATCTACCACGTTTGGCTCTGCATCGCCCTAAGGTCGACTGGTAAATGCCTACGGTATTAAGTCCGCCTTTGCCACATTTGTGCATAAAGATTTAAATAAATAAATAACTTCAAAATTTTTTAACTCCTGTAAAAAATGTTTCGATAGGTATTCATTTCATAGAATAACAATCCTAATATTCCTTATCCTCATATTGTTTAGTTAATATAAAACTTATTGTTTTCCAACTTATCTTATCGATTTTAAGTTGGTAAACGTTTTAATTCATACCTCTGACAAGATGCATACCCTCCTATAAAATTAGAACACCTCGTTCACGCAGTCGCAGTTTTAACCTAGCCTACTTTTGTGGTAGCAAGTCGTTTCTGACGGGGTTGTAGTTCTAACCGAACCTATTTTTCTGGCAGTAGTTCTGGAAGTAGTTAGTTTCTGACGGCGTCGGAGTTCTAACCTAACACTAAATTAAACTTAAAAAAAACTTAAATAAGATATTTGTTTAGAAAATTATGGATAACTTACCTAACGCTTTTTTAAACATTTTTGTTGAAATTATATAGCATCGAAAAATACATCGAACAAACGATATTCGTTGAAAAATAATTCTACTATTTGATAATTTTGTAAAATAAAAGTATGTGATTATAAAATTTATTGATTTGTGCTTGTGTGAAATAAATTTCATTTAAGTATATACGTTGAAACAATAATATTCGACATGAAAATTCAAGAACTAAATATTATGTAAAAAAACTTGTGGAACGAAATTCTATTTACTACATGCGAATTATAATTTAATATTATTAATGTTTATTTGATAAGAGAGAATATCGTTTGCTACGAAAATGTAAAAAAAATTATTATAACAATCACACTCTTTCTGTATAAGAATGGGTCAACGAATGACGTCGATCGACGGGAGTAAATATGGTAGCATCGTAGATTAACTGATAGTAAATTTTTCTTCTTATTTTTTTCAGTAAGCCTGTACCAGAAGGATCATCCATACCGTCATGGCCACCTGTAGGAGAAGATACATCACCTTACATGTCTCTGGGGCGGACGGTTGAACTCCATAGCAGTGCATTGACAGAAGACAGGACACGCTTCTGGGAGAACATCTACCAGAAGTACTATCAAGAGCCCTTGTCTCCGCCAAAACCATATTCAAGATCAGATCTCTGACTTTATTTGAAAACATGAAATCTGCTTTCATTTAAAATGCAGTCAAAGCCAAGACTTTTACAGACGCAAATTATCCGCATTAGATTTAATAAAAACTTAATAAAAGTAATTATTGAGCCACTTCAGAACTATAGAGAAATTACCATTAATAAATAGTGTCAATGAAAACAGATTTGTTACTCCTATACATCTAGTTCATTAAGGGTGATCCGTAAAACCATATTTAGTCAATCCTAAACCTGTCGAAAGTACTATCAAGGACCAGAACCCAAACTGCCGATTAATTGATAATGCAATCAGTCTATAATACAACAAAAAACCTGACTGCATTAAAATGATCTAAAACAGATAAATACAACACTTAATGACATATTGGGATATTGCCAATGATATTACCACTTTATTTGGCACGCTCTCCAGCCGCAGAACGTTCAAATAATAGCACAAAGAATTAAACGTAAACACAAAGTCTTCAAAATCCGTACTCGCCTAATTCTTCGGCAACTCTCTTTTGGTTGTTTACATATATATTTATAGATATTGATAATAAATTTTACTATGACAATATATCCAAACACAATAATATTTGCTGAGGTGCATGTAATATTAGATAAGTTTTTTAGGTAGTAGGAGAACCTAAAAAGTCTACATAATATTCTGTTGTAACTTGTAAAATATTTTTATAATTAATTTACTTATTTTGCAATTAATGCGATATGGTAATGCTTAATAGGTAAATATAAACAGTAAAGAAAACAAGGATCCTCACTTTCGTTATGAAAACCCGAGCGATGTGACTGAACTTACTACACTCGACTCATGAATACTCTTGATAATTGAAACCTTTGATAATTCAAATTTGTCTACAATTTGAAGTAATGGTTGGGTCCCTAGAAAAACTCTTGATAAATCAAAAATCACTATACATTTTGGTAAGTAATTCGAAGCAAATAAATATTACACAACACCTCATTTGTTACCTCAATAATTTTTCATTTCTAAACCGATTTGAAAATTTATTTATTTATTTATAAGAAAAGAAAAGAAAATGAAGTTATGTGAAAAACAATTTATTTTCAAATTCAAATTTATCATCTTACTACGTAATGTAAATGAAGTAACGAACTTATTAAACTAAATTTAGTATAATCCAACATACTACATTTTGGTAACATAGGTACTTTATTATTTAAAAAACATGATTAGTCTGTTATGAGTTCCTTTGTTAGTAATAAAAATTTATGAACAAAAAAGTATGAGGAAAAAAATTATGAAGTGATTATTATGAACACAAATCGGTATTAAAACAAAAAATAGAAATTACATTTATATGTGGGTCAATATGGACCCCTAAACACTTTAATAATTCTAAATACCTGCATACATTTGATAGTTTTTTTTAACAAGACACAACAAATGATTGTGCTCATTACACAATATTTGTGCTGGGTGGGAATCGAACCCACGTCCTCTGGCTTAGCAATCAGGATTACTATCTATTAGTCTAACAGGCCAGTCAGGAATAAATAAAATCAACAATATATTGAATCGTATTTAGCTGCTTAAATGATAACCAGGACCTCACCTCAGAACCTCGCGTTATACACACTTCCAAAGGGCATCGATAGATAAAGGAATGCAAGTCAGGTAAACTTGTATTTAATTATCTTGAAAATGCCCCATAAGCTATTATTAGATAAAGGTACCAGTCCTAATCAAACTTATTTGTCTAACCTATATCGCAGATTAACTTTTGTTGTCCTAATTAATGTTACCCTATCACGGAACTAGATTAGGATTTAATATTATTATTATATATTTACAAGGCCAGGTTTAGCTTTGGTAAGTAGATTACTGGCAAAAACAAATTATCATTTAAATGGTAGCAACAAGAACTTATAAGCAAGACTAATAAGTCTTGCTTATAAGGCTTGCCTTTTAATACCAAATTAAAAAAAGCATGTAAATGCATATGTATAAAAAATTAAAGCAATGAACACATAAAAAATTACCAGTATTTTTTATAAAGTTCATTTGAACCAATGATATTTTAGTATTTGTATGAATGTAAGTATACCAGACTTAAAAATTAGAACTACATTGATATCTGGCTGGAGGTGAAAATTGAAAAAGGTCCTGTACGCGGACAACTGGATTCCGGTGGAGAACTGTGGACTTTTCTGAATATACCTTACGCCACGGCACCGGCGGGCCGGGTCCGGATATCTTAATAACAGCTGTTCCCGGATCCCTCCTATTACAGGCGCAGAGTGGCACACCGTGTGGTTTTAGTCGGTCCGAGTCCGACGACACACCACCCCGCCGCAAACCCCGGTGGGGTGACGGTCCGAAGGGATTTCCACACATTAAAAAAAAAAAAAAAAAAAAAAAACCGACGGGCAAAAACAAATTTAAGGTATACGAACGATTGTCATTAACGATTACACTACATATTTAGGAATTATTAAATTGGTAGCTTGGATTAAATGAATAAATTAGATTTAAAATAAGTGACTAACTGTTTTATCCCTAATAATATTATAAATGCGAAAGTAACTCTATCTGTCTGTTACGCTTTTACTGTTAAACCGCTGAACCGATTTGTATAGAGAAATTTAGTACAGAAACACTTTGATTCTTGATAAAGAACAAAGGGTATTTTTTACCTCGATAATGGACACACGCGGGCGGATCTCCAGCAAAACATAGTTTCACATACAATTCTTAATTTAGAACCTAAATGTTTGTTTTTCATTATATTTATTTGTTTTTTTTATATTCTAAAAGATAATTAAACATACATGTAGGTATTATGTACACGTCCTTACATTTATTACAAATTGATATGATTATACATATAGTAGCGAAGGTTTTTGATAAAATGAACACGTACAAAAAAAATGCCTTGACCTTGACTATATGCATATTTTTCTTCAAAAACTATAAAAGATGAGGCAATGACGTCAAAGATGCTACAAATAAGCTGGTCATGACTATAATGTAAAAAACGATACTTACTTGAAATTGAATGTAAAGTAAGACTGAGTCGCATAGAATCAAAGGTTCAAAAAAAATGTATTTCATTTGACACAACCGAATCAACAGTGGCAAACTTCTAAGCAAATTCTTCAAAATTGTTTTTTTACAAATGCGGTAACCATAGAAATCGTAATAATAAGACGTACTTCTTAATACTACGGTTTCTGTGGCGGTAACCTTCTGCAAGAACAGTGTCAAAGACGGCGTTAGAGCTTACTAGACAATCAAAGCAATGTATTCGGTCACGCGATAAGTTAGCGAAAAATCATATCGCAGTGCAATATAGGTTTGCAAGTTTATTTTGTTTATAAAGATTTAAGCGAAGAAAATTCTAAAGAAGTTGGCTAACGTGCACATTATTTCTTTGAAAATTTGAAGCTTGCCTAAATCACGTTAGCCCAAAATCTAAAGTTTAAGCGTTATTTAAAAGCGCCCATTGGCAAATTGTCTTGAATTATATTTACCTCAAATTTTAAGAAAAGGAAGAAGAATTTTGAAACATTATATATAATGTTAAAAAAATCGTCTAGGGTTTGTGAATATTTGATATGTAACATTATCTCTTTTACAGGCACCCCTTTCGCCGCCCACATGGACTGAAACATATGAAGCTATCGACAGAGGCATCATATGTCCCCAATCGCTATGGAAGGTTAACATGCCTGGAGACTTAAGAATGCAAGAAAATTGCCTTATCGCAAATATATACGTGCCTGATACCAGGAGAAAAAATCTTTCCGTCCTAGTGTATGTTCACGGAGGTGCATTCCAATTAGGTTATGGTGATATGTTTAAAGCAAAAAATATCTTAAAATATAAAGATTTCATCGTAGTTACATTTAATTATCGTCTAGCCATTCATGGTTTTCTGTGTCTTGGTACCGAGGATATTCCTGGTAATGCTGGCATGAAGGATCAAGTAGCGCTGCTCAAGTGGGTACAAAAAAATATAGCCGCTTTCGGAGGTAATCCCAATGATGTCACTATCGCCGGATACAGTGCAGGATCAATGTCAGTCGACCTACTAACAATATCTAAATCTGCCGAAGGATTATTCCATAAAGTTATACCAGAAAGTGGGTCAAATTTGGCGACATTTTCATCGCAGTCTAATCCCTTACAAAATGCCAAAGGCTATGCCAAATCTTTGAATTTCACTAACGTAGATGATATTAACCAACTTGAAGAATTTTAAAAAACATTGTCGTATGAGACTTGGATGGGACAGGCTTTTGACTTTGATGATCTTTATTTCTTTACACCTTGTGTAGAGCGGGAAACGGGTGATGGTGCTTTTCTTACGGAATCTCCTTTTTTCAAAAAAAGTACCTATACTTCATGGTTTTAGTAATATGGAAGGTTTGTTTCGTATCGTGGATTTTGAAACAGCTAAATTCAGAATGAATCAGAAGTTTTCCGATTATCTGCCGCCAGATTTAAAGTTTGAAACTGAAGAGGAAAAAGAAAAAGTTGCTAAAGAAGTCAAAGAATTTTACTTCGGTGACAAGCCTGTAGACAAAGACAACGTATTAAGCTATGTGGATTACTTATCAGATAGTTTTTGTTCACTCCAGTCTTTGGGCGGTAAAGTTATATGTAAAAAGCGGTCATGATCAGATTTATTTATATGAATATTCATTTACTGATGAAGACTAGACTATTAAAGGACTATTAAGACTGTTGATGATGATGAAGACACTCCTCCTGTGATAAATACAACTGTCCGTGGTGCTACGCATTGTGCTCAAACATTTGCTGTACTCGATGGCAAAAACCTGGCATCTATAAATGAAGATGATCTTACAAAAGAATATCGCAACATGAAGAAGTTTATACGAGAAATATGGCATAACTTTGTTAAAACGGGGTAAGTTAAATTTACTTAAACATACGAGTACATATGAAATCATTTGTTTTACAAATACATAGGATACGGCATTATCATATACATAATATATGTATACCTGATGATTGACTAGAGCCTGAATTATTACAAAAAAATTTACATAATTATAATTTAATATTATTTGTTAAAAGAGATCTTTGTTTGATGCGAAAATGTGAAATATTTAATGATAACAATCATACGTTTGCTCTATAAGAACAGGACAACGAATAACGTCTGATCGGCGAGAAGAAACATGGTTGCATTGTAAATATAAAAAAAATCTTGGTTTTTTTTTGCAGTAAGCCCGTACCAGAAGGTTTAAGGTCCCTACCGTCATGGCCACCTGTAGGAGCAAATACATCGCCTTACATGTCCCTTGGTCGGACGGTCGAGCTCCATAGCAGTGAATTGACGGAAGACAGGACACGTTTCTGAGAGAACATTTACAAGAAGTACTATCAAGAACCAATTTCGCCGACAAAGCCACATTCAAGATCACACAGATCTCTGACTTTATTTGAAAACATAACATCTGATTTCATTAAAAATACGTTGAGAACTATGATGTATGTAGACACAAATAATCCGCAAATATTAAAATATTTTTTGCCTCTTACCTACTTGAGAACAATAAAATTGTAACCATTTAGAAATAGTGTAAATGAAAACAGATTTATTACTCTAACACGTCAAATACGTTCAGGGTAGTCAGTAAAGCTATATTTAGTCAGTCCTAAATCTGTCTAAAGTACTATCCAGGTCCAGAACCCATACTGTCGTTCGATTGACACTGAACAAGGTAATGAAACAATAAACCTGAAGGCATATTCTCGTAATAAAAGTTCGGTCTCAATTCAGATCCGTTCTACATTCAATCTCTCAACTGTCACTCAAGG